TCTCTAGAAGTCATGAGTTTGAATCTTCTCATGCTTGCTTATAAAAACGTTTGCAGGAGCTAACGTAACCGCTACCTCGAATCACTTATTTTACAATTGGAAAGACTAACCTCAAAGATGCTCACAACTCAAAGCATGCATTATTTGACTGCAAGTGTTTCCACTTGTGGTGTTCCATTGGACTGTGTTGCTAAAGAAATATTTTCTATACCAGCTTCAACATCTGCAGGGACTGGTTTTGGTGCTGCCTTGGCTTCATGAGGAACTGATCTCCCACTCTCCAGGGCAAGACCTTTGATGGTTTCTTGGAGTTCTCTATCCTTCATCAAAGATTCTAATGTCACGTGGTTACCTGAAAACATAAACAGATCGATGATTATGAGATGAGGAAACTGTCATTATTGGTGAACCCAATGCAATGCTATGAAAGATCTCATATGAAGATGCGCTTACGATATCTCCAATAGTGCTTTGGGTTAGTAGGATCGTTGATTGTCTCCTCTTTTGCAGGACGTGTTGTGTACTCCTCTTTCAATGCTAACAAATCCTGGCGTCAACACAAAAGACGAATATAAACTTTGAGAGCTCATGACAATCAAGAAAAATGTCACTCGTTACTCAGCTCAGTGCCAATATATTGAGATGTAGATCTAGTGATATACGTCACCTGAAGTGGGAAGATAGCCCACATTGATGGAGCTTCAAAATGTTGCTTTATGATGAAATGTGCAATCTCTGGAATACATTGGCTAGGTGGCACGATATCAGAACCTATAACATTCTTCAAAAATCGTCCTCTTCTTTCTTCATCTTCCTCCCACCACGCACGCAAAGTCGAGCAGTCATGGCATGATGGAGCACACACCTAAAACATGTTCCAATGCTAAGGCAATTCCAAGTGTCTCATAATTTAGGAGGAATTCTTCATAGTTATCAATGGTAAAAAGGTAAAACTTATGCCATTTAGGTGGAATTTTGACTTGTAAAAATAAGAAGTATGTCAGAAATTTTGTAAGAAAATCAATACATTTTTATGGAACGGGTGAGTTCCACATACCTTCTAGGCTTCTAGTTTAATCATTTTTTCTTAGTAATCAACTCTCAAGTGCTTAAACCAATGACAATCACTTTAAAATTACTTTTTTGAATAGTCAATCTCTCCAGTATTTCTTAAAAAAGGATCTTTGAGCCGATCCAATTTTTCAAATATGTTTTCATTTATCACCTATATTTTTTAAAAAGAACTTTTTGTCATCTACAATCACTTAGGAAGCTAAACTAAACGCACTCTAAATTAGTAACTCTTTAAAAAATACTTAAGAAAAAATATTTTTATTAAAAAATCTCTTTTTTCAAAAGGGTTCAATAGTTTGCTTCTTTACGTGCCACTGAGAACTTCAAGACAATTCATCTTTGCCAATTGCTATCAGTAGAAGATGAACTTATTTTGTTCCATTACTGTTCTTTCTCTTTCCATATACATTGGACTTGTAGCATACAAGTTCAGTTGGAAATGGACTACGTTTCCACCATTCACATTATGTATTCCTCCTTTTTCTTGGTTATAATGTATGTCAGTTTATCATATAAAAAACGGAAGAAATGAGATACAAGGGCTTACAGTCATGTAGCTATATTGAGAAGGAATTCCAAACTCTAGACCAGGTTCGCTCGGCATACGTTGAATTCGTAATCCGATTAATCCCAACTCCTCCATAACCTATATCAAAATCAAGACATGATTGACTATCTTTGATTGTTTTTCTTATTTATCTAGGATGAGTTTAATGTGAATTAAAAAATTTTAAACACTTTTTCAAATTGTTAGTGTTTGGTTAAATAATTAGAAGTGATTTTCGAAAATCTTCAAAACACTAAAAAGCACTCAAAATGTTTCTAAGAGAAGCATTTAATTAGTATTTCTTCCAAAGTGCTTTCTAAAAGCACTTTTTAAGTCATCCAAAATTTGGTTTTATACCATGCAAGTGGGTTTGTGCATTTAAAGGATTAGTAATAATTTAGTCTAACCGGATGAACACATGAAGGAATAAGGCCCAGATCTTCTCCACAGGCTAGCATGTCAGAAGAATCAAGGAGAACAGGCAGGGTCTTTAAAGCATTTTTCCGCCAAAGATCCTCTTGCCGCTGGAAGTAGTAATCATGGTATAATCTTTTCATAACGTTCTTGCTGCATCACGTAAGAAAAGTAAAATGGTAAAAAAATTTGCAACTAACAGAAATTTAGATCCAAAAGAAAGAAGAAATAGAAAGAAAGAAAAAGAAGTGTTTGCCCCAAAAGACAACAGTTAAAACTTAAGTCTCTAAATGAAATGCAGCAGAGAAGTTATTTGGATTAGGTCTCAAATGTAAGAAAAAGGGGCAACCTGTGGTCATCCAAATCATTAAAACTTGAAGTATCTTCAAGATTGAAGCGTGGATAGAAACTTTTTGGATCCTCTGGGTCTCTAATAAGAACTATGTTCTGCAAGAATAAAAAGAAACTGAAGGCCATGTTCTGAATATAAGCGAAAAATGCAATCAAATCTAGTGGCCCATAAAGAAACCACCCGGCCTCAGAAACAGCTAAAAGCCTTGCGTGAACAAATTTTCACGAATAAAGCGTTTTTTGGCTGTAACATCTTACCTTTATAAGATCAAAAAGACCGCGTCGTATCTCATCTGGGTTTGGCAACAGAGATTTTTCTACAAGTGACTTCAGTTTGGTAACAATTTTTTTCTCTGTGTCACAGTCCTCCTTGAACTAAGAAAGAGAGACAAAATACTCACCGTATTTAAGACTGAAAATGTCCAGATAAGACTTACACGATATTAGACTAAGGCTGAAGGAAAAATCAAATAACAGCATGAAATCACTGAAACAAGTGGTGAATATTCAGTTTCTTTTGGATGCCTCAGACAAACTTTTTATTGTATTGATTATGAAGCATGAAAAATCACAAGCAGCATGTAAAGTGATGTAACTAGAATAGAATGCAGCAAATTACTAAAATAGCCAGGAAAAGGAACAGACAACCCATGCAAAATTCATCAAGCATAATATCATTAAAGGGAACATGCCTCAAAGTATAACGCGACATAATGGAATTTTAAAATCGGTTGGGAAAATAAATGTTCACAAGTCTACTCGTCTGCTAATACAAGGCAAATTCAATAAATATTTGACTCAATAGTTCTTGTACTTCAATTACTTTTCTTAATCTTCAAAACAATGCAAATTACAATTGTTAATATAGTTGACGAAAGAATAGATCTAGATCAATTCTCTAATTCAAACGTGAATCTGTCCCAAATCAGTATCACTAATAACAGAATTTTGAGTTCTACATTCTGAAATTTTTTTTACATTTTAAGATGAATACAAAAATGCATATTTTCAGCACTATGAGAAGAAATTGGGCTGTGCAAAACTAATAATTAATAGAACCTGTGTATTCATCAAGTACATGATATTGCTCTTATAGGATACCATGCAGAACTAAAGATAAAAATTTATATAAATCAATGTCAGCCATCGTAGTTTAAGTATCACCTCATAAAAGTTTTTCTGATATTCATTCAGAAACTGTGAGGCAATAAATCCCCAAGCGGCTCCAAATTTATCCTGAAAAAATAAAAGGACCAATGTACTTCAGGACATCAGACCAGATAATGCTTTTCAGGATTACAAGTAGATTCATAATGTAGCGACCTGTAAAAATTCTGCCTTGATATATGGACAACTCAAGCGATTGAAGTCCCATATGCCCTCTCTTTCAAGTTCTTCCTGTGGAAGAATAACTTTTTTAACAAAATGTTGTACGACAAGTCCTAGTTAAGATGGAAATTTTTTATTTCGAAATGAGCAAACATACCTGGCTTAAAGGAATAGAAGGGCGGAATTTTCCAACTAAACCAGTCATTGCATGCTCTGGAAGCTCCCAAATTCGAAAGAAACCCAATATATGATCAATTCTATAAGCCGTGAAATAGTTCGACATCTATAATTCAAACAAGAAAAATATATACAAATAAGGTTAATATATGGCCAACAAAGTTTAAGAACAGACAAGAAAAGATTGCTGGATTTTATCAAAACCTGAGTCAAACGAGCACGCCACCAAGCATAGTTATCCTTTGACATCTCCTCCCAGTTGTAGGTTGGAAAGCCCCAATTTTGTCCATTTTTGTCAAAGTAATCTGGAGGTGCTCCAGTTGACGTGTTCATGCGGAACAAATTAGGGTAAACCCAGGTATCTACACTGTTCCTGTCAACACCAATTGGAAGATCTCCTTTCAATACCACTCCTTTCTTTCTTCCATAATTTGATGCTTCTGACAACTGTAAATTAATAATGTCAGCAAACAATGAAATACAAAGACATGGACTTCCATTCCATTTAACTGCAGAAGCAAATAGTCAAACATATAAATTTGTGATTTTAAGTACCTGTTGGTGCAAATGATATTGGATATAATAGTGGAAGCAGATGACATCATAATGCAAGCTGTCCTTCGACACAAGTTTCTCAAGCTGTGAATGAAGGGGACAACAGGTAATGTACTTATATTTCATGCTAAGATTGATTTGATTCTTTGATAGATTGTATATTTTTAGGAACAAACAGTAATCTTAAGACATTCAAACTCTAATACAAAAGAAAAGAAAATGGCAGAGACCATCACCTTGTCTTTTGAAAATTGAGAAAAACGACCCCATTGGCTGTGATCTGATGTCTCAAAAAAGTCCCGCAGAAAACAGAAGGCAGCGTAGGGTTTTAACCATTCCTTCAAGTAATTCACATATAAATGAGAACAGTATTATAAACTGTTGACAGAATATACTAATAAAACAGACTTTCCAAGACATTACTGAATATTTATCAGTATCAGTACTGTAGTTATTACTGGAAGTATCACCTCAACTAATGTTATAGGACAACCGCCTAACTCTACTACATTTGATTACATAAAAACTCGTAGGATATTAAATTTTAGGTAGGTGGCCACCATAATTTGAACTTTGAACCCATTGAACCCATTCCCTCTAAGCCTTTTAGTATTTACATTGTCCTTATTAACCACTGGCCTAACTCATGATGGTTAAGCTTCATTTTCACCATCACTATATAAATTATTCAGTAGAGAGCACAGCTTCAAACCCCATTTTGAGAAAAGTACTCCTCAAAGGAACTGGAATTCAGTATTGAATCTCTCTCCAGAGCAAAAATTTTCCGGGCAAGTGAAAGCTTAGCAGCCATAGTAGCCTCGTAATCTACATCCTGCATAAATCCAGAATTGAACGTGTAACTTGAATGTTGAACAACAGAACTATAGACAAAGCAAGCACACAAATTCTCCCCTAAGGCATAACTTCGTCCTTTGCAGAAGTATAATCTTTATATTTCATTAACCAAGACACAATCAGCAAAAATAAATCAGATGAAAAACAGGTTTTGGTAATTCTTTTTCTCAAAACTTTAGAAACGAAAATAACTGAAAATCACCAAGGATATGGATGATTAATTTGAATGTTGTCTTGTCTCCTACTCCTAGTACTGTAACAAGCAAACATGAAACATGATAAAATAAGCAAAAGATCTACCTTTCCATCCAGTTCGACTTTTGCTTTTTGAATCTCTAGCTACAAATTAGAATTAGATATGTTAATATGTAAAGATAACAGATCAATCAGCATAGTATGAAATAGAATAGTAATATAATCTAACCAAAAAAATGGAAAAATATTACCATGATATCCTCTGGAATATTCTCTGAAAGTGCTTGGACTCTTAAGTACAATGGATGCAGTGCAAAAACAGAAAGTGAGCTGCAAAAGGTCAGTAGAATAATCATTACAGAACAAATTAATGTATTGAACCATAATTTCTGGAGATAACAGGGTTCTCATTTATGTAGGTAGGTAATCGTGGTCATACAAGTTAAAGTAAGCAGACAAAAGTGATAAAAGAAAATTATGAAGCCCCGGAAAGTGTCATCCTTGTGTTGAAACTTTCCCAATAAGAAACATAAACAGTAGGATGCTAGTCTCATTCTTCAGGCTGAAAACCATACATTTCGATAGATAAAATTTTCAAAAAATTATGGTACTATGAAACAATTGAAAACTGAAGGTAGGTAAAAGTAGGTGCTACAAAACATGCTATTGTTATTCATCTGCTATCACCAATAAAAGAATGAAGATTGGACTGACTTGACTTCAGATCCAGCATCGACACTGCATCCTACCTATAAGGATATGAGTCCCACCACATTCCATGCACTGATGTATCATTAACAGGTAGAAGTTGAACTAAATGGAGACCAGACTGCACAGCCCAGTCAACAAGTAATTTCAAGTCCAGAAACTCGCCGACTCCAAGATCAGCTTCTGATCTTACAGAGAACATGGGGATTGCAACACCAGAACCACACCAAGGAACACCCTGATACAAGAAATTCATGAACTAACTTTCCAAAGGACCAAGTAACTAGTATTCACCGAAAAAATATTCTTCCCAATAGCTTACTCGCAACATGCCATCTGAAAGTAAAATATATCTTGGTGATGAGGCATCAAGGACAAGGTCCCGGTTTCGCCCAAATTCTGAAGAAATATTTCCTGCTCTTCCATGTTTGCAATATTTGTATGTAAGCTATTGTTAAGGAAGAGGAAGGAAAAAGAGAGTATTAAAGATGATCAAAACATAAACATAGACAATTTTTGCAATTATAAAGAAAAAAACACCAAAGGATATTGAAAGGGGAAATCGCTGTTTTGCAAAATGCAGTCTGCATGCCAGGTTGAGTCACCCCCATAGCTAAGTGCAATCCCATTCTTTACCTCCCACTGTCCTAACTTCGAAGAGCTACCAATGACATAGATCTGTACTAGTAGAATTTCATAATTATAACTCAAAATGGAATTGGATGCCAGATAGCATGAAGTAACTAACAGGTTAGAGAAATAGATATTTACTGCTGTATCTTCTTCTATATTTGGACAGCAAATTTTGAAATGAACAAGTACAGAATCTCCTTCAGTCAGAAATAAAAACAACAACTTGGTTAAGATGAGATTACCCAAATAGAATAATATCACGTTGGAGAAGGATATTCATGAAACAACAAAAGAAACTAATAAACTTACCATCCTGATCCAAATTATTATGAAAGAAAGTTCCTAGTGGTCTTTCTATGCTCCAAGTCGAACTTCTTCCAAAGATAACATTTTTGAAGGCACTCTTGGAAGGAATCCCATCCGCACCAGTCTGGAATTGATGAATCAAACATAAAAATAGATGAGATCTTTAATATCCGGGAAATGCTCGTAGATTCCAGTGACCAATTTTCAGAAGAAATAGTTACAGCAGTGTAGCCAGAAGAAACCAAAAAACAACAACTTATTACATAGTCTTTGGAATGTAAATTAGTCATTTTTTTTTTAGATAAATTAGTCACTCTACTACAAGAGCAAAAAAAGTTGCGCGAATCCAAGCATAATTAAGAATCACATCACAGGCAGGAAATATTTCCTCAAATGAGTCTATATAACAACTAGAATCTCAAATCAAAATGATTGAAATTATTTTATTAAGAAATAGAACTTTCAACAAGAATAATGAAAGAACAAACATAAGGGTCAAGAGCTATATAAGGAGAACAAAAGGGAGGGAAAAAAAAGAACATGAAAACACCAACTCCCTTATGAAAATTAAGCACTTATCCAAGTTGTTTCCAGAAATCCAGATAAATTACCATGGTGACTTGCCTAGGTGGAATATAACTCCCCAGGCCATCACTTTACCATTCTCAGTCACAAATGTAAATCGACCCTTGCCTTCGCATAAATCAACGTGATGAAAATTTGGTAGTAAACAAAGCTACAATACACAAACAGAGATGGGTTTAGTGTAGATAATTTGGTCCATAAGAATCAGCTCCTGCTGGACAAGTGGATTGCAGATTGTCATGGGAGAGTTCTGCCTTATAGTATTAGATTTTTTGGTAGGTCAAGGTTTTCTCTGACAAATAGGATGCTTCTCAGGCTTCCTCTGACCCTCAAAGCAGAGTCCAAGAAAAGTCATCATTCAGGTTCTTCATGTG